TATCAATGAATGAAAATGAACCACCATTAAAAGATTCCTTAGCTGTTAATAGAGCTCAAAATTATTATATTCAATTACTTTGGAAATATTGGATTGATAGATGTGGTGAAATCAAAGCTTGGAAACATTTTTCTCAATTACTTACAATTATTTTTCAAATTCAATCAGCAACAAAACAATTCCGAGATTTTCTTCATTATCAATATATGACATCAAATACAATCGAAAAACTTGCACCACTTATGCAAACTGTTCTGCATGTATCTTAGTTTTTAGTTTTAGATTTATTCATTTAATTAACATATTTATTATAAATTAAACTAATTTTATTATTTATCTATTTAAATAAAATAAGAATTTATTTTTAGATTTTAAAATATTTTCTTCTATTTTTTTTAAATTTAACCCTTTCCAGCCTATAGCTAAACCAATCGATGAAATTTCTTTGAGACTTTATATTTTATATGAGCATTAAGCATTGTTGATATTTTCATCAAAACTTTTTAAAAAATCTTTAAACCCATTTTCGATCCATACCCGTACTCCCCTACAGAGATGACGAAGAAGTATATTGGGCGCCTCTGTGGGGAAGTACGGGTATGGCTCAAAATTCGATTGAGAGCTGTCGCCAAATCAACCTTTGGAATATGACTAGGAGCCACTCCTAACTCGCGGACCGTAGAAGGACATTATCCACCCTCCTTCTTTTTATAATAGAAGTGATGTTCCAAAGATCCATCAGGCGTACTACCAGAGTGACTTTATTATAGGGCAATAATCCTTGTATAGATGTATGCATCCAAGTCTCATTTATGTCACAGAAAACCGCACTTCGATATCATCTCGCGTTCACGAGTTAGTCAAAAATTAAGAAATTTGAAAAACCTGTACTATATTCAGTACGGTGGACCTGAAAGGGTTAAGTCATAGTGCAGCAATCAAATAACTTAATTCAACTTTAACTTAATTCGCTTTTTTCAATGTGTTTAACCCCATATGCTAGACGCATAATTCAATCATTCAAAATTATATTTAGCATTTTATAGAAAAAACTAAAAAATAGTCTAAAATAAATAATGGTGATCTTTCAAATATGACTCATAATTATCACATCAATGAGTTTATTATAGCTATTGTTTTAATATAGGTCAGTGCACCAAAGTCTTCTCTTTGTACTAAAGAAAACAGATTTTCGATATCTTTCTACATTTGTGAGTTATTCAGAGATTGTGAAACTTGAAAAAAGTATACTATATTTAGTAGGCTAAGCCTGAAAGAGTTAATGTATAAAAACTCAGATGAAGATCATGTTGGTTTTTCTCAACCAATAAATCGTCTAGGTTTTAAACATTTATCAATTATTTACGTTTTTTTATTCAGATCAGCTTTCGATCAAATTGATTGTGATATGTAATTGATTATTTTAATAGATTTTAACAATTAAATTTAAGAAAAAAAAAAGAATTTCTCACATAAATGCTAATCCAATGATTTAAATTCATATTCGAGACTGAGTGTACCATAAATAATAGTATCATCTATATTTTCTATTTACTTTGGTCAGATTTCTAGATCGAAAACTGCGCTGAGCCTTATCAAAATATTCGTTATTTTATTCTCTAGAAAATCGTGCGATAGCTATAGAACTAACCATAAAAGTGGCTGGGAGAATTGGACAATACTCAAGCTTCGAAGTTTTGTTCCCTATAGCTCAAATTTTTCAAGAGATATTTATTTGTCGTCTGGAAGTCTTTAAGCATCAATTATTTTATCATATATCGATATTTAGAATGGTCGGACTTTCTTATGAAAGTTTGCAATAACCATTATTTTGGTTAAATACTCTTCAAAATTGGAGAAATTTGATTAAAATTCAATTTTGTATCCAGTGAAAATGAATATTTTCAGTAAATATAAGATGTTTCACTCAATGTAAATAAGCTTGTTACTGTACCATAATATTCTTTGAAAACTTCCGCCCTTGCACATAACAACAAAGAACTGTATCTATTGCTACAATGAGCTTTTTCAACCATGCCTCACCCATCCAAAACAAAATAGGAAAATATTGAAAATTGTTTGGGAAATATCCTCTAGAGAAATTGGTGCATATCAGACAAGTTCAATGTTCTTCGATTCTCTCGGTAAATGTGAAGATTAGATCTAATGTTTTTATTTAATTTTATAGAGAATTGAAGAGTGGATTGTTTGAAATCAACTATTGTTTACTATCTTCAAACGTGAATAAGATAATAAGAAAATATGAATAGTGACATTGTTTATGATGCATCACTTATGTAAATAGGAATTCTCGAAGAGAGACTCTTTTATCCGATACTCATTGTTTCACAACAAATATTTTGTACTAACGGGTGGCACAAAATAAAATGGCCACTTTTGTCGTGTGTTTCTGAGGCACTTTTCAGTGATCTGAGGCTTATTCGATAGAAAATTTTCGGCTCTAGAAAACTCATAATTTTCTTTTTCATTAGAATTATTTCATTGTTTTAAAAAACGATGCAGAATAAGAGCAGGTAAAAACTGAAACTGTGACGGGAGGAACAGGTTATAATTTCTTTTTTTACTGAACCATAATTGATCGTTTAATAACACTTCTGTCACCTATTCATCACAGGTATATTGCGTAAAGAATTCGTCTTGATTTGATAAGTCCGAATTGAGAAATAAAATATATCCTAACATTTTGCCACTAATAGTAGATGATCCTAAAATGATGTATTTATTCCTATACCTATTTTTGTCTATATCCAGTATGGTTCGAAGATTTTGTTCTGATTGCAGAAGATAGAAAATTTTCTGCTCTACAAAATTTTCTATATCGCACACTTACGCTGCACCGTTTGGATAGTACTTTCGCTGGTTTTTTTTTGAAAATCTCATGTTGGCCGAAAGCGTCAATTAACTTGTACACCGAAATTTTCACAATTCGGATGAGGTAACACAGATGCAGTGTAATCTGGATGATAGCATTGCTTCTCTCAATTACAAGATTATTTCTCGAAAAGCAATACAAAAGTCGAAAAGTCATCGAAATTTTGATACGAAATCCCAGTTTTACTTTTTACCTGTCCTTATTTTAAACCATTTTGTAAAATAATAAAATAAAATCTCAGGAAAGAAAATGATCAGTTTTCTAGAGCAAAATAATGATATAGACAAATTTTTGAATGCTTTTCAAGCAACAAAAAAAAACTACACGAAATGATGATGAAATTACTCGAACTTATGCTTCTAATATCAAAGTTGATTTTCATAGATTTTATACATACTTAGGTCTGACCAAAAGTTCTGAGAACATTACATAAAAATCTAAAGATGCAAAGATATTTTTTATTTTATTTTATCAAATGTTTAGGATAATTACCATTATTATTTATATTAAATTCAATCCTTTCGACACAATTTGTTAAAAGTTTTTTCTTGAGTCTTTTTCGAAAAAATTTTTAAATACCTTGAATACAGCATGAGCAGCTAATCATATTTCATTTATATAATCAGGTAAACTACGTTAGATAGAATTAGTTAGCCAAAAATTACATTCTATCAGTCTTGGCGAATATGGTGAATATGACATTATATTGATGCCTTCTTCTCTCATATAATTAATAATACTGGATGAGTATGAAGTCATCGATGATCATCAAGCAATTTTATACATTTTCAACCTGACGTCTCTGATTGTTTTCATATTTCATTAACAAAAGGTTTTGGACAATTTTCAATATAATATTTATGAGCTACTGTCATGCCTTTACCTACACTCAGGATTATTTGATTTAAAGAATATACCAAACAAAGTTTTGATTAAAATCTATCTCCAAGAACAACAGTGTTCAACGATTCATCTTCAATAAGCCAGCCAAGCATCAAATGACTTATGACTGACCTATCTAAAATAAATCCATATCCCATCACTAGTAGTGATAGAACACAACTGACATGATCGAACACAATTTTGCCGAATTTTTAAACCAAATGCTCATGCGATATCCAAAGTATCTAAAAATTTTTTCGAAAAAGACTCAAGAAAAAACTTTTAACAAATTGTGTCAAAAGGATTGAATTTGATATAAATAATAATGGTAACTATCCTAAACATTTGATAAAATAAAATTAAAAATATCTTTGCATCTTTAGATTTTTATTTAATGTTCTTAGAACTTTTGGTCAGACCTAAGTATATTAATCGACAATTATGATAAGACAATACGAAAACTTCTGCCACTGATTTGTTGTGCTAACAGACGAATAAATTATATTGTTACAAGTGAGATTTGTATTGTTTATTGTGAAAAAGAACTTTGTGTAAAACAATGTGATTAATTTGAAATTGATAGCATAGGTAAACAAAATATACCTAAGATATAACATTATTCCAGTGAAAATGAACTTCTCTTTTCTTCTTATTGTATTTTTAAAGTCATGATTATAAATGAAAAACTAATCACATATGAAAAATCTCCATTATTTGCTCAATTTTATTTGTTAATAAACAAAGTATGCAAACAATAGATCTCAAGCTGGACCATTTTTTCATAGTCCAACCAAGATTTTAGTGAGGAAAGGATCTTTCATGCCCACCGCTTGAACTGGGTGTAGATGTAGGAAGACGAAAGAAAGATCCACACACAGAATTTCATGTTGATATAAGAATGGTACAGTTGATAAATTGAAGACACGATAATACAGTAACGTGTCATGAGACAATGTTCAATTGAATCCAATTGGATTTGAAGTGAATAGGAAATGCACATTTCGCACATACGAGCATAATCTATATACAAAGAGTAGGAGAGAGACAATACTTAACAGATGATTGATCATTCAGATTTTGAAAAACCGACTAATCAACTCAGTGGAAAAAGCAAATGCATAAAAGTTGTTTTCATGATCTGTGAAATATCTCGAATAAACACGAAATGATATTTATTTATTGACATGAAATTATTTTCGAGTTGTTGAACAAAACAATAAAGATATCATAGTGGACCACATTCTTCTAATTCAATTTCTTTGATATTATGGATTTGACAATCCTTCTTCAGTTCTACATAATGTTGTTGTTTAACTTGAAAGACAGTGAAGGGTAGAATAAGTACTTCTTTTTCATCTTCGATGCGACTAATTTTTTCAATGGATAGACTTGATTTTGGATTAATCACTTTATATTTACAGATAACTGGCGGATGAATTTTATGATCAGTACAATCAACAAATAGTTCAGCAATAGATCGATCTTTCGATGTTGAAAGAAATGAACGTGTTAAAACAATATTTCCTGTATTGTATTCTTCAAGATCTTTCTGTGTAATCTTCATTCCACGAAAGGTAATACCGGCATAGTGATATGGACGAAAATGAGAATGATTGATAATGATTGAAGCAAATATGTATTGACCAAGACCTTGTGGTGGTTCATTGTCAACATAACCTGAATTGATTAAAGCTTGAGTGCTGACAAAACGAAAATCGGAACCTAATTCGGCTAAATCATGATTTAAAAAATCATGGAATTTAACACTAGGACTCGTATATGTCCATATTAAGCCAAGAGGATCCTCTTCGTCTATCACATATAATAATTCTTCTTTGATCGTTTTTCGATCATTTTCGTTTTTAAACTTAATTGTTTCAATATAGTCATCAACAATTGCCTTGAGAAGTTTATGCAATGCAACTTTTGTCAACCATCGTTTCATGTGTTCATGATTCTCGTATGAGATTCGATAGGCATTTTTATATGAATCAAGCCATTCAACTTCACGTGATGAAGCAACAAAATGGTTCGAATCTGAGATCGTTCGCACAGGATCTTTGAACGCTGCTCTAGTCTCATCATTCGGTGCTAATTCTTCAGGAGTAAATCCCTCATCATTGCGAATTGAACGAGAAGCATGGTATCGTAGTAAAAGTCGGACAAGTTTAGCATGACCATACATTGAAGCAGCATGAAGAGGTGTATTTCCATCGGATCCAGGAGCATCGATTTCCGAACGATTAGCATTCTCTTGAACTGTCTTTAAATCATTATTGCAACAAGCTAAGTAGAAATCAGTTGGTTGTGACGACATTGAGGATGTCATTTTGTGTTGAACGAATACAAATTAGAACTCAGTAGTTCTTTACAGACTCTGTTGATACGAACCTATTGCCAATATTTATAATAGAATTCTAAATGGAAAGATCTCATTTTACAATTAGTTATAGAGAACAAATTGTGATAATGTTGATTAGAGAAAGTAAGTTCACTTCTACATGTATACTAAAATCACCTTTAATATTTAAAATATTTCGTACAAAAAAAAGTACAACTTCCTACATAGTGCACAAGATTTTTCTAATTGACAATAGAAAGGTCATCTTACAACTTGTTTGATGAAAATAGAGAAATTCGTGAAAGAGATCCTTAAGTAACGTCTCGTCTTTCTAGTCTTAGAGTACTATTCATACAAACGGCAGTTCAAAAACATATCAACAACGATGGCAAGAGTAATAGAGAAGCGTACTGACGAACGACACTGTCGAGCGAAAGATGTCAGTTGATACCAATAGCATTTCTAATAATTAACATTCTGATATTCTCTTTCATCGAAACT